TGAGAGCCCAGGGCAACTGGTCCCAGCCAGGACTCATATATTACAGAAAGTATAAAAGAACACATACCAGCTTCAGAGTTAAACAGATGAGTTTGATTTCTGTCACTCACATATGAGCTGCATGACTTTTTTTTTTTTTTTTCAAACGATTTCATCTCTTCACATTTCAGTTTCTTCCTTTTGAAATTAAGGAATGATATTTATCCTGCAAAATTGTTGGGATTAAAAAATATTCTAGGTAGAGTAAAAATGTCCCAGTAAATAGTAGGCATTTTCATGCAATAGAAATTGAAATTGTTCAGTTGTGTTTTTGTTAAGAGGCAACAGAAAACTGAAGAGTAATTCCATGATAGGGAAGCATAATTAGCCAAGTCATGAAATAACTCATCTGCTATTTCAAGTGAGCAGGCAATTGCTGATTTGCAACAGGTATTTGACCACTGCCTTCTTCACAGGTGGATGGAGATAAGAAAAAAAAAAAAACAATGCTTGCCTTTCATCAATGTGTTTAGATTTCACAAGTTTAATATTCAATGTCTGAGCCAGTTTTTGTTTGTTCCTAGTTCTTATTTTACAGGTTGCATCTACAGTACAAATAGCTTTCCTAGGCACCTGTAGAATATATGAAATTCTTCTCCAAAGAGTTTTGTGATACTATTGGAAAACAAGACCCCTCAAAAAATGGCTGGAACAGGGTGGGATAATGGATGGACATGTGGAAAAGTGGAAAGTCTATTTATCTGTCTAACCTTTTATGAGCATCTTTTCCAAAGGAACACAAGTCTTAAAATCATATTCTTTTGTCTAGGTCTCTGTACTACAATGATGGGCTGTCATAGCTTGGTAGTTCCCAAGTAAGTGGAAATCAGCACAAGCTTTTTAAGAACTACTCAGACCTACGATTACTAATATCTAGTTAAAGACTAGATGTAAAGATATGAGACTATTTTTAGAGTGGCCAAAAGCTGCCCAAAGAAACATTCAGGAAATAATATCATGGGAAATTGTTTCTCCTAAACCAAGCAAAACCAGTCCTGTGCAGGAGGTGAACAATAAATCAAGCATTTCTGCATACCTGAGGTTCAATTAAATTAGACAAATAAAGAAATCAATAAGACCTGCTCTCTTCACAGAGTGCAAAAGAGACAAACAGAGACATAATCTCTGTGAGATGCTAACTATGGATCCAACACTGTGCTAAGTGCTTTTTATATGTGAAATCTTTAATTTTTAAAAGATTCCATGAAGTCAGAATTATCCATTTCATTCTGTTGATGAGGAAATAGACTCAGAGGGGGACTGCGGTTGTGGCTCAGTGGTAGAGCACTTGCCTTACGTGTGTGAGGCCCTGGGTTTGATTCTCAGCACCGCATACAAATAAATAAAATAAAGGTCCATTGACAACTGAAAATTTAAAAATATATAGACTCAGAGAATCTAAGTAACTTTGCAAGACCCAGGCAATGGATGCAGAGCAGAGCTGATTAGATCCCAACTATTCTAATGAGGATGAGAAGGATTAAAATGAAAGACAATGTATTTTCATTGAAAGGTGATTTAACAGGATAAAACTTATTAACACCTTTTTCCTAACAAATACATAAACATACTAAGGCCCTTTGGTGGCCAAACACCACTCAGCAGGTCTCAGGGTGGCCATTCGAGCAACCTACTCACTGTTATGAACTGTTGGATGGCTACGCCAGGGGCTGTGCCCTGCACCACCCTGTTGATGAAATACCCCATCACGGATGAGGGAGCAGCTAGCTCTTCCTGGAAACCATTGGCATGTATGAGGGTGTTAGAGAAGCCAAGCTTCTGTTTTCTCATCTAGTACAAAGGAATCCTTCCTACCCTCCCCAGGAAGATGTTGGTAAGATATGGATGGGTGGGAATCGAAGAAATTGTTTCAGTGGTAGTCACTGCAGAAGGTCAAGGTTGGGTTGGCACTGTCCTCAATAAGAGTTATTGTGACTATGGTCCAAAGTCTCCCAGGACTTTTTTTTTTATTTGTTTGCTTTTATTTTTTGGTGTTAGATACCTGAAACACCAAGGGCAGTTCTGTGCCAAGCCACAAGAAGAATGAAAGCCCAGGACTTCCCCTAGGGCACCAGCTTCCATTTGAATTTGAGGCAGTAAAATCTTCCCAACAGTTATAGTTTGAGAACTTCCTGCTGGTTCACATTTCAAACAGAGCCCACACTTAATCCCCAACCTGGCAGCAGAGCTCACATTGAACAGGTGGACTGCAGGAGACCCAGGGACAAGGCACTTTCCGGAGAGCTGGACCAGCTTCCAGTAAGTACTCTATAATGTTACTGGTTTGGATTCTCAAGACTATTGTGATTTGGAAGCTCATTACCATGGAGCAGTTGCAAAATTGAAAATCAAAAATTGGAAATTTTTCAATTGAGGCATCTTGCTTTTATGAGCTTTTTTTCATAATCTTCTTGGGCTGTACAGAGGGAAATAAGACCTCTTGGTATCATAGTCCACAAATCCCAAGTGACACTATAATGAACAACTGAGGCAATGAATATGGAGTGCTGTTCCTGAGTGAGACTGAAGAGATGAATGGAAAGGTTTTCCTGCTTGGTTTTTTTTTTTTTGGGGGGGGGTGTTGCGGAGCCAGCAACAAGAAATGCAGACAACCTAGGGAATGATTTCATTCTTTTTCCTTGGATAGGAAGGACAAAGTGGTGAACACTGACTTTCAAGTTGGGAGGCTGGCTCAGCTTCTTTTTAATTGTGTGCTCTAAGGCAAGTTGTTTACTCTTTCTAATAACAGTCTCCTTGTCTGTCACTTGGTATTATATCATTGTAAAAAGAATATAAGCTTCACAGTAGTGTGATGAGGCTCTATAAACATATTGCTTACAAGTTCCTGCTATAATCAATAAATACAGCGATTATTAAGCAATCATAGAATATCAGAGCTGGAAAGGACCTGAAAACTAGCATCTATTGAGCTCCTAATATCTACTGAGTGCTCTCTTCAGATTATTTCAACTGAGGCTCACAGCAATTCTAGAAGGGTGACATTATGCCATCCACTTTACAGATGAAGAAATGGAGGCATGTAGGGGTACTGTCATATATTCAAGATCACATGTCTCATAACTGATGGGGATGAAATTGAAACCCAATCTCCACTGTTAACCCACTAAACCATCAAACCCTGCAGCCTTATCTGTCATCCCATTTTGTAGTTGGTGAGAGAAGAGGGAGGAGTGGTCCCCACAGGTGACTTTGGAGCTCTTCACAGACCCTGGAAGCCAGAGATGTCCTTCAAAGCACACTTTGCTATTCATGGTACACAGGAGAGTGGAAGTCATCAGGAGTGTACTTGAGCATCAATCAGGTGCCCTGAGGGGGCTCCACAGGAGAACTAGGTGCAAGTTACCTTACTCTTCCTCTCTCAAATGCAGTATTCCATTTGTAAAACAGGCCACCTCCAAATAGAACAGTTCTGAGACACAAAAAGAAACAGCACTCAGTGTGCAGGCATTAAGCGCCCTGCCCCTGGGCTCCCTGGATGCCACCTGCTCATTCTGAGCTCTGGTGGCAGGGTGAGATTAAGTACAAACTCTGAAATGTGAACCTACAGGAAGTTCTCAACCTGCTATCCTTGGAAGGATTTTACTCTTGACCTTTAACAACAAGGCAGGCTTTAAAACTAGTGACATATTTTATCAGAAGAAATGATGTGGAGCTTTTGGACAAATAATAGCCCCCAAAGAGCTTGAAGCAAACACGGTGCTTTAAAATATGTCAAACAGAGCTCGTCACTTCTGTACAGTCCTCCCAGCTGAGCTTGAACTCCGTTGCTCACGTGGGAGGGCGACTGAGTCTCACGTGCATGGGTGGCTAGAAGGATGACAGGCTGGAAACCATCCATTCCTAATAATTACGCAGGCATGGATAGCCTAGAATTGGAAAGAAGCTCATGAATTTAATACCAAATCTCAGGGGTAATTATTTTTTTAATATTGTCCCTGCTTTGAGGGGGATGGGCAAAGTTTCAAGTAGTTTATATCATTCTTCTTCCTTGTACAGAACTGATATTCAGGGAACAAAGGCCTCAATAGTGTGGCTTTCTCCCCAGGCATTGCACAGAGTAGAGTGTGTCCATTGGACCAGGCAAGGGACAAGGGCATTGTTCTTCAACATACATTTGCACATGCCCCAGAAATTCGCTCAAATCATCACTACTGTTATTGTACAAGATACCCCAAGAAAGACAATTTCCCCAGGCAGGATAGGTGTGATTTTAGGATTTGGGAAATCTCCCCCACTGGTCTTCAAATAGCTCTTCCACGCATCTGACAAAACACCAAAAGGATGCTGTGAGGACATGTCTTAATCTTAAGATGTTCCTCTCTGTCATTCAGAGATGAGTCATTTCTACTTTTGGAGGAATGAATAAGTTTATGCTGAAGAAAGGGAGATCAGGAGGGGGGTGCCCATGGCAGTGGGAGGCCCTGCGTCTTCTCCCCAGTTCACCCCGGCTGCCCTGGCCTTGCTCGCTAGTTTCCCTTGGGAGAAGGCAAGTCCCTGTCATGGAGAAGGGCTTCTTTCTTTTCCAATCTTTCCTCTCCTCAGCAGTGCTTCCTCACCCGCATTCTGTGGACTCCTGCCCTCTGCCCTGTTCTTATCACTTCTCCTTGGTGTTGCTGTCACCCAGGGCTCTCTAGTCAGAAATGCTCTTGACACAGGGACAAAAAAAATCCCAGGAAAGACGGCTCCTTCAGTCACCTTTCCAACACGTCCACAGACCACCCACTTGGTAAGCACAAGTGCATGGCTATCACCAGCTTCAGGGATAAGGAGGAAAGTATTAAAGGAATGAAAAGGGGACATCTCAGAACCCGTCTCCCCAGCATTTGTGAGTACCATCCTGATACTCAGTGCTTCTGTGGCTGCTGGAAGGGGCATACAGTCATTTGGAGACCAACTGACACTTTACCCTTCTTTTTGACAGGTGAGAACAGACGGCCATAATGGAAACCAAATCTCCAAAGAGTCCAGGTACCTGGGGGCATAATTTCAAAAGGAAAAAAAATCTTTTTATCAAAAATGAAAAACAAATCCAATCAAGCTAACCAGGATACACACATGGGTTTCAAATGGGGGAATAAAGGGTGGGCATTCTGGGATCATGGTTCTTGGTTTGGAGAATGTAGCACAAACTTTGGATTTCACTTAATTATCTTGTAAGAGCTGACGTGTCTAGAAATTTCACATTTTGTGATTTTTCGTGGGCCAAATGTTCCATTTGTTACTTGGAGACAGTGCTCATAACAAACGATGGCCCAGCAAAAACAGGGGTGGATTTCCCTAATTTTGCATGAAACTCTCATTACAGAAACTGCCTAGATTGTTATGAAGCTTGTTATGAAGGTAGCTCAGGTACATTATTCTATTATCATGGCTCCTATTCACATAATCCATTATAGGTGAGTGGTTAGAAGAACAGAGTTCAGGATCAAATAACTAGGAAACCAAATTCTTCCATTAACTAAAAAATATTTACAAAGAACCTATTACTCTAAGTATGTGTGCTTCATATTGTGTGTGATATACCAGTAAATTAATAATAGAGTTATTGCACTTAAGGAGTTTATCATTTCACTGGAAAGTTAAGAGAAGCACCCGCAAGTAGCTTTACTGGAAAACACAGGCTAGCACATGCAGTCAGGCTTTGCTGTGATCAGGAAATAGGGACAAAATGCTGTGGAATCAGAAGAAGAAAAAAATGTGTAAAGAGTTGTAGAAATCCAGAGAAGATTTATGGAGAAGGCATTTGAGCTGAAACTTTCAGGATGGGCAGGGTCTTAAAAGAGACTGAAAAAGAAAACACATCTCAGCAGAAGAAATGGCAGGAATAAAAGCAGTGAAGTCACTCAGAGGCAGGATGTGTCAGACAAGAACGGGATTCTAAGGTAGGTCAGGGGAGGATAGAGGAGGAGGACACAGAAGGGCAGCACCACACGGGGCCAGACCTTGACCCCATCTGACCGGGAAACCTCAAAGTATTTGGAGCATGGACCTGGCATGGTCATGAATTTTAGATTGGTCATATTTTTAATAGCTTTATTATCATCTATTACAATTGTCATGCAATAAACTGCACGTATTTAAAGTATACTATCTGAACCAGGCGCGGTGGCGCACACCCGCCACTGGGAAGGTGAAGGCAGGAGTGTCTCCAGTTCAAAGCCAGCCTGGGCAACTTAGTGAGCCGATCCTGTCTTAAAATAAAACAAAAAGGGCTGGGGATGTTATTCAGTGGTGAAGTCCCCCTGGGTTCAATCCCTAGTATACCACAAAATAAATAAACAAACAAAAGAATGAAATGAAGTGTAATACCACAATAAGTTTTTAAATATATTTCTTAGTTGTAGATGGACACAATACCTTTATTTTATTTATGTAATTTGTATGTGGTGCTGAGGATCAAACCCAGTGCCTCACACATGTTAGGCAAGTGCTCTACCACTGAGCTTCAACCCCAGTCCCCCATGATAAGTTTTTTTTTAATTATATTTAATTTTTAAAATTTGTTCTACTTAGTTGTACATCACAGCAGAAGGCATTTCAATTCATTGTACACAAACGGAGTGCAACATTTCAATTTTCTGGTTGTACACGGTGTAGAGAATCACCTTTTGTGCAAGGATAATGATGTCCATCTCATTCCACCATCTTTCCTACGCTCATAACCCCTCCTACCCTCCCCTTTGCCCAAAGAGCCTCTATTCTTCCCATGCCCCCCATCATAGATCAGCATCCGCTAATCAGAGAAAGCATTTGGCCTTTAGTGTTTGGGGATCGGCTTATTTCACTTAGCATAATATTCTCCAACTCCACCCATGTACCTGAAAATGCCATAATTTTATTCTCTTTTAATGCCGAGTAATATTCCATTATGAGTATATACCACAGTTTCTTTACCGTAATAAGTTTTGACAGATGCATTCACCTGGGAAACCATCAAGATAGTGAACATAGCCATCATCCTCAAAAGTTTTCTTAGGCCTGTTTGTAGTTCTTCCCTCCAGCACACAGTACTGCCTCCACCTCCAGCTCTGCCTGTCTTTGGATTTGCCTGAGTTTTACACAAATGGAGTCATATAGTACCTTCTTATAATGTATAAAGTCTGACTTCTTCCACTCAGCTTAACTCTTTGGTGATTCACCCACAGTGTGGCATGTATTAATAGTTTTTCCCTCTTATTGAGTAATATCCCCGTTCCATGGATGTGCCGTACTTTATTACCTACTGTCAGTATTACCTATTGACAAAATGGTTGGGTTAGTTTCAGCCTTTGCTTATTACAAAGAAAGCTGATATGAGCATTTGTCTATAAATTTTTAAAAAATCATATATCTATTTTACCTAGTAGAATGAAGGAATGAGATGATAAGAAGAGGTTTATTTATTTTTTCCAAATTTATTTGTTTGATTTCTTTAAAAAAAAAAAGCTTTATTGAGGTATAATTGACATACAATAGGCAGACAGGTTTCGGTTAACAATTTCACAAGTTTTGACATGTGTATGTACCTGTGAAGCCACCACCCAATCAAGATAATGCACCTATCCGTCAACCCCACAAGCTTTCTCATCCATTGTCTCCCACTCTTCCACTCACACACATTTCCCCAGACAACCACTGCTCTGTTTTTTTCCATATATAAACTGGAATATTCTAGAATTTTATATAAATATAAAAAATATATATATATACATTTTTAAATATTATTTTTTAGTTGTAGTTGGAAAAGAATGCCTTTATTTTATTTATTTTTATGTGATCCTGAGGATCGAACCTAGGGCCTCAAATGTGCTAGGTGAGCGCTCTACTGCTGAGCCACAACCCCAGCCCCATATAAATTTTACATAAATATCAACATGCAGTATCAACAAGTCATCTGGATTCTTTCACTCAGCATGATTCTTTTGAGATTCATCTCTGCTGTGGCATATATCAATAGTTTGTTCCCTTTAATTCCCCAATAGTATTCAGTTGTATGGGCACAGTACAATTTGTTAATCCAGTCACCTGTAGGTGGACATATAGATTGCTTCCAGTCTATAGGTATTACAAGTAAAACTCTATGAACATCCATGATAAATCTTTGCATGGTTGCATTTCCTTTGGAGTGGAATAGCCTTTTAACTTTTTAAAACAGATTTTAAAGAAAAATTAAATGAACTATTTTCTTCTATTTTTTGTAACACTGGGGACCGAACCCAGGGCCTTGTGCATGCTAAGCAAGTGCTCTACCACTAAGCCCCACATCCTGAGCCCTAAATTAACCATTTTAAAGGAAATAATTTGATGGCAGTTAGCATATTCACAATGTTGTGCAGCCACCCCTTCTATACAATTCTAAAACATGACCTCACTCCTGGATTAAAGCCTTCACCCAACTGAGCAGTGTCTCTCTCTGTTCTGCCTTCTCCTTAGTCCCTGTCGAGCACCAATCTGCATTCTAGCTCTAGGGATTTATGTATTCAGGACACGTCAAAGAAATACAGTTATACAGTATGTGACTTTTTGTTTCTGGCTGCTTTGTTTCTGTAAAATGTTTTTAATGTTCATCCATGTTAAAGCATTTATCACTACTTCATTCCTTTTATGACTTGGTAATTTTCCATCATATATATATATTCCACAAATTGTTTATCCAGGCACTCCATGATGGACATTTGAACTGTTTCCATGGTTAGCTCTTGTGAACAGCACTGGATATAGCATATGTGTAGGTGTCCTTGTTTGAGTGCCGTTTTAATTCTTTTGACTTTATGCTTAAGATTGGAATTGAGGGGGTCATATGATAATGATGTGCTTAACTTTTTAAGGAACTACCAAATTGTTTCCCACGATGCCTGAACCATTTTGCATTTCACCAGTGGCGTCGGAGGGGTCGAATTTCTCCATATCTTCACCGGACACTTACTTTCCACCATAATCATTACTAATGTAGCCATCTCGGCAAGCACAAAATGGTTTCTCATTGTTCCCACTTCGTGTCGGACAAATTTTTGTGTGTTTATTAGCATTTGTATATCTTCTTCAGAGAAACGTCTATTCAAGTCCTTTGTCCATTTTTTAAAAATAGGGTTGTTGTTTTAGTTATTGCATTTAAGAGTACTATATTAAGCCCCTATCAGATATCTGCTTTGCAAATATTTACCCATTATTCTGTAGGTTCTTTGTTCACTTTTTTGATAATGTCTTTTGATATGAGTAAGTGTTTAATTTTGACGAGATCCAATATACCTATTTTTTGTTGCTTTTACTTTTGGTGTCATTTCTAAGAATCTGCTGTTAAATCCAGCACCATGAAAATTTATGTATTCTCCTAGGAATGGTATGGTTTTAGCTCTCAAATTAAGGTCATTGGTTTTTGAGTTAACTTTTTTGTTTGATAAGATGTATAAGTCTAACTATATATTTTTTCATGTGTGGATTTCCAGTTGTCCTAGCACAATTTGTTAAAGAGATCATCATCTCCTCATCAAATGGCCTTGGTCATTGATGTGTGGGTTGTTGTTTTTTTTTTTTTTCCTGGACTCTCAACTCTATTATACTGGTCTGTATATTTATCTTTGCACCAGAACCATGATTTTGATTTCTGTAGTGTTGTATTAAGTTTTGAAATTGGGAAGTCTGAGTTCTGTCTATTCTTCATCAAGATTGTTTTGGCAATTCAATTGGAATTCCAATTGAGGATTGCCTTTTCCATTTCTGCAAAGAAGTCACTAAAATTTTGATAAGGAATGTGTTGAAATTTTAGATTGCTTGGGATAGTATTAACATGTTAAAAATGATAAGTCTTCCAATTCATGAATGTGGGATATTTTTCTTTTTGTTGTTGTTGTTGTTGTTTTCTTTAATTTCTTTCAGCAATGTGTCGTAGTTTCCAATGTACAAATACTTTACCTTCTTAATTAAATTTACCCCTAGATATTTTATTTATTTATTTTGGATTCTACTGTAAATGGGATTACTTTCTTAATTTTATTTTCAGATTATTTATTGCTGGCTTATAGAAATAAGACTAATTTTTGTGCTGATCAAGTAAGCTACTGAATTTTCTCCTGAAGCTTTTTTTTTTTTTTCAAATTTACTATATGAGGGTTTCTATATAGATTCATGTAATCTCATAATAGAGATAGTTTTACCTCTTCCTTTCCAATTTATGTTTCTTGCCTAATTGCTCAGGATAGACCTTCTTATACAATGTTCAAGAGCAAAGCTGAAAATGGGGATTTGGGGTTGTTGTTGCTTCTGACTTTAGAGGAAAAGCTGTCAATCTCTGATGCTGTTTATAGTTTTGGGGTTTTTTGTTTATTTGTTTTGTTTTTTTAATAGATGTCTTGCATTAGGTTGAGGAAATTTTCTCCTTGTCCTAGTTTGCCACGAGTTTCTGTCAGGAAAAAGGATGCTAATCTCATAAAAAGAGTTGGGAATATTCCCTCCTCGTCAATATTTAGAAGATTTTGTGTATAATTGGTCTTATTTATTCCTTAACTGTTTGGAGGAAGTTACAATTACAACCACTTAGACCTCAAATTTTCCTTATGTGAAGGTATTTAACTACAATTCCAAGTTCTCAAATAGATATAGGGGATATTTAGATTATCTATTTCTTCTTCAGTGATCTTTATTAGTAGATGTATTTTGAGAAATTTTTCAATTCACCTAAGTTTTCAAATTTACTGAAATAAAGTTGATCATAATATTTCTTTATTATCTTCTTCCTCTCAGTAGAATCCTTCTTTTCTCCTAATATTGATGATCTGTGTCTTCTCTCTGTTTTTCCAGATGTATCTTGCTAGATAGGAGTTGGCTAATGTTGATATTTTCAAAAAGATCAACTTCTGGTTTCTTTGACTTTCTCCACTGTCTTTCAGTTTTCTGTCATTGAATTTCAGTTTGATCTTTATTTCCTTTCCTTTCTTTAACTTACATTTAATTAATTCAGTGTTTTCAAGAGTCTTAGTGTGGAAGCTGAGCTAACTGACTTGAGATCTTGATCTTTTCTACTGTAGGCATTTAGTGCAATAAAATGTCTCCTAAATACTTTTTAGTGGCATCCAAAAAAAATCTGATTTATTGTGCTTTAATTTTCATCCAATACAAAAAGTGTCTTCTTTGATCCAGGAGTTATTTATTTCAGGAAATTTTATGGTGGAAATTTTCTTCTATGGTGGAATGAGATGGACATCATTACCCTAAGTACATGTATAAAGAGAGGAATGGTGTGAATATACTTTGTATACAGCCATAGATATGAAAAATTGTACTCTATATGTGTATATGAATTATAATGCATTCTGCTGGCACATAAAACAAATTAGAATAAAAAATAAATTAAATAAATAAAATTTTTTATTGATTTATAATTTGATTGGAAATTATACTCTGGGAACACAATTTCATAACTCGAATGTTTTTAAATTTACTGAGACTTAAATTTACAACTCAGATTGAGTCTATCTTGGTAAATATTGCCAGTACCCCTGAAAAGAATGTGTATTCTGTTGTTGTTGAGTGAAGTGTTCTGTATTGTATAATATCACTCAGGATAAGTTGGCTGATAATGTTGTTCAAGTCTACTATATCCTTGCTCAGTTTTTATTTATTTGTCTTCTCAGTTATAACGAGAGGAGTATTTAAGTCTCTCAGTATATTGTAAATATGTCTATTTTTCCTTGTAGTTTTATTAGGTTTTGCTTCAGGTATTTTGAAGCTCTGTTATTAGTTGCATATATGTTTAGGATTGTTATGTTCTATTATGATTAATTGAACCCATTATTATTATGAAATTACCTTCTTTATCCCTGGTAGTATTCTTTGTTTTGAAATCTCCACTGATATTAATACAACCATTGCAACTTTTGGCTGTGTTAGCATAGTGTATCTTTTTTCTATAATGCTCCTGCATCAGCCTCCCAAGTATTTGGGATTACAAGTGTGCACTGCCCACTCATCTTTGTATTGATATTTGTTTTCTATTTGTCTTTTTTTTCCCTTTGTTTTCTCCTCTTGTCCTTTCTGCCTTCTTTTGGATTAGCTGAGAATTTCAATAATTCTCTTTTATCTTCCTTATTGGCTTATTAGTTATCATTATGTGATTTATTATTTTAGTGATTACTTTAGGGCTTATGTACATTTTTAACATATTATAATCTAACTTTAAGTGATTTTATACCAATTCAAAAATAATACAAGAACTTTACAAAAGTGCATTTCCATTTTTCCCTCCTGGACTTTATGCTGCTATTGGAATGCATTTTATTTATATCTATTATAATGTGCACAATCATTGTTAGTTTTGTTTAATAATCAATCTTTTTTTTGTAGTGCTAGGGATTGAACCCAGGACCTTGTGCATATGAGGCAAGCACTCTACCAACTGAGCTATATCCCCAGCCCCTCAATGGGTTTTTTAATGTGTTAAAGAATAAGACCAAAGCTCACATATTTACCTTTGTAGTTACCATTTCAGTATTCTTCATTCCTTTTATAAATTCAGATTTCCATCTGGAAGATTTCCTTCTGCCTGAATGACTTCCTTTAACATTTTTATAGTGCAGCCCTCCTGGTGATGAATTCTTTCAGCACTGCATATATGAAAATGTCTTAAAATTTTTTAAAAGATATTTTTAAAAATTTTAAGACATTTTTTAAAAGATATTTTTGCTGCATAGAGAATTCTGGATGACAGTGTTTCTTTCATTACTATAAGTACATTGTTCTATTTTTCTTGTTTGCATTGTTTCTGACTAGAAATCAGTATCATTGTTCCTGATCTTTGTTCTGTATACATCATGTCTTTTTTCCACTAATTGCTTTTAAGATTTTTTTCCTTTATCACTGGTTTTGAGTAACTTGATTTTGATCTGCCTTAGTGTATTTCCTTGTATCTTGTGTTTCATATGGTTGAGGCTCATTGACTTGCTTGGATCTTGGGATTTATAGTTTTAAGTTTGTAGAATTTATAGCATTATTTCTTTGAATATTTTTTTCTGTCTTCCTCCCCCACTTTAAGAAACTCCAATTACTTGTATATTAGTTCACTTGAAATTTTTCACAACATTCTGGGGTTCTTTTTATGTTTTTAAATTCTTTTTTTTTTTACTTTCTGTTTATTTTGATAGTCCCTATGCTTTGCCTTAAACTCATTTATTTTTTTCTTCTACAATGTTCACTCTCTGTTTCTCCTACCCAGTGTATTTCTTTTTCCCCTAAAGACATTGTCATTTTCATGTCAAAAAGTTCATTTTGGGTATTTTTAAATTTTCTATCTCTACCCAATTTCTTAAAAATGCAGTGATAATAACTGTTTCAGCGATCTTCTCTGCCAATTCTAACATCTGTGTCAGCTCTCAGTCTGTTTTGATTGTTTGGTTATGCTCTTCATCACAGTCATTTTTTTCCTGCCATTTTTGCATGCCTGGTAATCTTGGACTGATTGCCAGACTTTGCAAATTGTACCTTATTGGGTAATATATATATATATTTCCTATAAATCTTGATCTTTGTTCTGGGATGCAGTTAAGTTTCTTGGAAACAACTTGGTCCTTTTAAGACTTGCTTTTATGATTTGTTAGGTGAGTTTGGCACAGTCCTCAGTCTAGGGATAATTATTCCTCAGGACTCTACCTAATGTCCTGTAAATTATAAGTAAATTGTAAGTCTTTCCAGTATGGCTGAAAGGAATGGGCGCTTTTGCTGACCCTGTGTGAACATTGAACACTGTTCCTTCTGATCTTTTCTAATGGTTCTTTCCCTGGCCTCAGGTAGATTCGGCACACCCTTGTGCTTAATTACTATTCTTGAATATTTGAGGACTCTGTTGCCCTTTAGTCTAGCAAACCAAAGAAAAGCCACTTGCTTTTAAAAGCAGGTGGTGAATATGATTAAATCAAGAAGCTACTCATACATTAACTGTTCTCTGTAAGTATTGGAATTATAAGCATTTTTAGTTTTTTTCTGTGTTCTAAGATGTTTACAAGAAATATGTACTACTTTCATTATTTAGAAAACCAAAGTATTGTTTAAATAGTTTTTTAAGCGATTGGTTTTACTTTCACATTCAAGATATAAGTCTAGTTTGTACCTGGCTTTGGAAATTTGAGAGCGTCTTTATTAAGTGAAAACAGAATCAAGATTCTGTAGTACATATGTTGGGATCAGCATCCTAGTGTCCAGTTATTCTGGTGAGCAGCTGTCCTGACTTTTCCTCTCTCCCCAAGTTCTGCAGACACTCCACCTGCCCCTCTCCCCCACCCCCCCCCCCAAAAAAAGCACTTTTGCCACTTCATTTTTAATAGCAGGTGGTTAACTTTTATTTGCAAACAAAAGGGAGGTACAGAATTATCTTGCTTCTGCAATGGGAATGGTGACAAACCTGTGCTCACACCTAGAGAGTCAGTGACATATTCCAGAAACAGAACCAGATGGGGGTGAGCAGGACAAAGGTACCTCGAAGCATCCTTTGAATGACAGCCCCAGCCGTGGATGAGGAAGAGTCACACACTTGCTCCTTTTTTTTTTCTTGGGCTGACATAGGAGAATCTTTTGAGTAACTGAATGATTTGAAGACCTTTCCAGAAATAAACAGTGTTATCTGATTGAAGCAGTTCTCTTCTGAAATTTATGAGAGAACAAACTGAGTCTTGTTCACTTTCTTTTATTAGGCAAGCAACTTACATTTTATTATGAAAATGAAGTCTATAAACAAGATTACTTTATTAAGTCACCACCTCCTCAGCTTTTCTCCTCCGCAGTAAGTATTCCCTACAGATTAACAAGCCTCCCACCAGCACCATGAGCATTTTTTTAATGCTCTCTCTTTCTCTGAGATTTAACTGAGATGCAAAACTTCTTCTTCTTCTTTTTTTTTTCTTCACCTTTCAGACCTCTTGGAAAAAGCGTTTTTGTGTCCTGTCAAAGAATGGGGAAAAGGGTCTTACTCTTTCCTATTACAAAGACCATCACCAACGAGGTTCCCTCGAAATTGATCGGTGTGTATCCAGAGCAAGGAAATTTATAACACATCTTATCAAGTCAGATACTAACAAGTTGCATGTAAATTTAAACTTAAATCATTGACAGAGGAACTATGGACTTTAATCCTATTATGATATTTGAAAGGGAACTAAAATTATGAACACTTAGAGTAAAAGATAGTTAAATGTTCATTCATATTATGTTACAGATGATAAGTCTTTAATTAATAAGCATTCATTTGGAAAGGATTTTCACTTAATTTGTGGATGGGAGGGAGCAGATGAAATTTGCCATTTTATAAAGCCAAGATGGGTTTTAAAAAAAATTTAGGTTAACTTTTTTGGTCTTCTATTTTCAAAAAAGTATGTACAAGAAAACAACTTGAAAAGATGATTTGTTCCCCTTCTCAGTGGTGCACGCCTGTAATCCCAGTGGCTCAGGAGGCTGAAACAGGAGTACTGAGAGTTCAAAGCCAGCCTCAGCAAAGGAGAGGCTCTAAGCAACTCAGTACCCTGTCTGTAAATAAAATACAAAATAGGGCTGGGGATGTGACTCTGTGGCCAAGTGCCCCTGAGTTCAATTCTTGATACCAAAAAACAACAAAACAAAACAAACAAAAAAGATGATTCGTGAACTCAAGAATCCAACTGAGCTAGGTACAGTGGCATATGCCTGTAATCCCAGTGACTCTGGAGGCGGAGGCAGGAGGATCACAAGTTCAAAGCCAGCCTCAGCAACTTAGCGAGGCCCTAAGCAACTTAGTGAGACCCTGTCTCAAAATAAAACATTTTAAAAAAGGAGAGAGGGATCTGGCTCAGTGGTTAAGCACCCTTGGGTTCGATCCCTAATACAAAAAAAAAAAAAAAAAAAGGAAACATCATCTTTTGAATTAAATTTCAGGCCAAACACAGTGTTTCAATTAATGATGAACCAGATTCAAAGTGCACATTTATTTTCTAAAAAAATAAAATAAAATAATAATTCAAATAATAGCAATAATAATTCAAATTACTGGACGCTCTTTAAAACATGGATCAAGCAGATTTTAAGTTTTATTCAAATATGCATCCTAATGTAAAACATTAGTCAGTTTTCTTCCTCATTTGGTAAGTACATTGGTTTAGTACTTTGTGTCTATATCTAACAGAAATGCCAGCGTCAACGTGGGTATAAATAGCCAGGAAAAGCTTCAATCTGTGCAGAAGATGTTTAAATGCCACCCGGATGAGGTGATGTCCATCAGAACCACTAACAGAGATTACTTCCTCATCAGCCACGACAGGTAGGCTGTAAGGAGCTAGAGTCGTCTCCTGGGTGTTAAGCAAAAGCAAACCGAAATCCAGAACATTTTAAACGATGTTTAAAGCCATTCTGGCAGCCCTCGCTATACTAATTTCCAAAGGCTCTGTAACAAGGTGTCACAAACTAAGTGGCTTAGAAGAACAGAAATGTATCGTCTCACTGTTCCGGGGGCTAAGTGATGGAGATCAGAGCGTGGGCAGGGCCGTAGTCCCTCTGAAGGCTCCAGAGAAGGCTCTGTCCCAGGACTCTCTCCTAACTTGCTTTGGCTTGTGGCAGTGTGACTCCAGTCTTCACATGGTATTCTCCCGGTGTGCGTCTCTCTGTGTCTAAAGGTCTCCTGTTTGTAAGGACACCAGTCACATTGGGTTAGGAGCCACCTTTACTCCGGTATAACCTCATCTAAACTAAATATATCCGAAACAAGCCTATTTCCAAATAGGGTCACGATCTGAGGACTGGGAGTTAGAACTGGAATGTCTGTATCCTGGGCGGGCTTGGGGGATATGATCCAACCCATAATAGTCACTATTACCACAGATGCATCCCAAGTAAAAGGACCTAGTACAAGAATACCTGTATACGCTACCTGTATAAGGGAGGGACCGTGCTCACCCCCAAGGAGTCTTCTCTTTGAGGAGCAGCTCCTGTAGCTAGTGAAGGTGCCCACTGAAGTTTTGCACACTTTTAAATGCTAGGGGGTGAGGCCATGGTGAAGGGAAGAGGCTATGCCGAGAAGGCCGGGAATATCGAAGCATGTGGGACCTTGATCTCTTTTAGGTTGACCTAAAGATCCAGAGCTTTCTTTTAAACTGTTGTGCAAGTCAGCAGCAAAGAAGATGGGATTTATATACATTCTTTCAAACACGAGTCTTCATGAAGACCTGCATTCCCTAAGGGGAAGCTCACTTGGATAGTTGTGCCAAAATGGCGCTGACAGGCTAGGAGGGCACTTGCTCCAGAACACCATAGAGCTGAAAGCCCCAAGCCCTGGGATTACTCCTCTTATTTTCTATTTCCCATTTTGTTACTCTGAGCTTTCCTCACCGGGGTGGCATGAGAAGTCCTTCCAGAGTGCAAATGGGGAGGAAGTGGGCCTCTGAAGCTACTGGCAAAAACATCCATATTTACCAGATAGCTGCTCCCATGGCCTATTCTAGCCACAGTAAAAGAATCCTCTGGTGAAGTGAATAGAGAGCCTATAGAATGGGAGCAAGTTTTTACCAGCAGCACATCAGACAGAGCAGTAATCCGTAGGATGTATAAAGAACTCAAAAATCTTAACTCCAAGAAAACAAATAATCCAATCAACAAATGGGCCAAGGAACTGAACCGACACTTCTCAGAAGATGATATACAATCAATCAACAAATATATGAAACCATGTTCAACATCTCTAGCAACTAGAGAAATGCAAATCAAAACCACTCTAAGATTTCATCTCACTGCAGTCAGAATGACAGCTATTAAGAATGCAAACAACAATAAGTATTGGTGAAGATGTGGGGGATAAGGCTACACTCTTACACTGCTGGTAGGACTGCAAATTGGTGCAACCAATAAGGAAAGCAGTATGGAGATTCCTTGGAAAACTGGGAATGGGAACCACCATTTGACCCAGCTATCCCACTCCTTGATTTATACCCAAAAGACTTAAAAACAGTCTACTGCAGGAACATAGCCACATCAATGTTTGTAGAAGCACAATTTACTATAGCTAAATTGTGGATCCAACCTAGATACCCTTCAGTAGATGAATGGATAAATAAAATGTGGTATATATATATACAATGGAATATTATTCAGCATTAAAAGAAAATAAAATCATGGCATTTGCAGGTAAGTGAATGGAATTGGAAAATACTATGCTAAGTGAAGTAAGCCAATCCCAAAAAAACCAAATGCTGAGTGTTTTCTCTGATATAAAGATGCTGATTCTTAATGGGGATGGAGTGGAGGAGCATGGGAGGAATAGATGAACTTTAGATTGGGCAAAGGGGAGGGAAAGTGGGTATGGGAGTAGGAAAGACAGTGGAATGAGACTGATACCATTACCCTAAGTACACGGATGAAAACACGAATGGTGTGGCTGTACTTTGTGTTCAATCAGAGACATGAAAAATTGTGCTGTATAATATGAATTGAATTGCATTCTGCTGTCATATATAATGAATTGGAATAAATAAAATGATCCTCTGGTTCAAAATGAGTGAGTTCAGGTGCTGCTGTTGCCACATGTCAGCTCAAAGTTTGTTCCCATCAACAGGGAGAAGATTAGAGACTGGGTCTCTTTCATATCATCGTTTTGCCATGGTGTACGAGCAGCTCACCAGAACACCCAGGTGACTATCGTTAATAAAATAACAGACATCTAAATACGACCCTCTTTTAACAGAAATAATGGTAGCTTTTTCTTTCTCCTTGGCAACTGGCATTAATTCTAGAAATAAATAAGTGAGGAAATGTTATGTTTTATGATGAACAAAAGGAAAAAAATACTTTCATGTTTTGCAAGAGAGCTAAAATACGGACATTTCAAATGTTTGTTCTGGGGGGGGACAGTGAAAGGAAAGGAAGAGATTTTTAATAGTAGCTAGAACTATACTATTTTCCATCATTGTTATTCAAGCTACGCAAGACATTCTCTTTTGAATGACTACATCTAGGGCGGTTTCTATAAAAATGTTTTTTCATCTATCTTGCATTTTAATATAATGCCAGTTGTATAAGGGCTGGTAATTTAAAGTTTTTAGTTTGCTTCATAAGGGTCTTCGTCAATCTGCCAAGTCTTGTGTTGGTGCAGGCCTTGACAAGTGGAACTTTGCTCTCTCTAGGTGTCTTTATTCACATATTTTCTAGATTGTTCCATGCTTACAGCAAAAGCCAAGATGCAGGAGAAAGCAAAGTCTGTCTATAAGTAAACTTGAATGATAGAGCAGAACGGGCAGGATTCAGAGGGAGATATGGCTGATAAGCTGAGGAAGCTCAGGGCCTCCCTCAAGGCCAGGCAGAGTGTCCTCGGGTTTGGGAACAGACGAGGAGCCAGCTGGCAGGATCGGCCTTGTCTTAGTGAGATAGCACTGGCCCGTGGCAGCCCAGCGCCCAGACAGTTGAGGAGGTGCTGAGGGAAGAGCCCACGGGAGGCTCTTCTTTCATTCCAGACAGAGACCAGCTGTGTCCTGATGATATTATTCCTTTCTCCTAAGCAGGAGGGACCCTCACTGGGTGATACAAGGCCGGCTTCCTACCCCAGCCCTGTCTTTGGTCCTTCCAGTGTGATGGAGGCTGTGAGCCCCACCTCGCCACGAAACAGCCTTCCAGACATGGTAAAAGAATCACCTTCTCTCTTGGGACCCTTCCCCTGCTCCCTCTGTCTGCGTTCCATTTACATGTCCTGGACACACATCTGGTATGCTGGCCTGCGGTCCCTCTGCTAAAGCCAAAGCCTGCTGGCCTGGCACCTTGCCACGCACAGGCACAAATGCCTCTGGGGAAAGTCTTCCTGTGATTTCTGACCGTCCAGCCTGGGCTTCTCTTTTCTTACTGATTTCCTTCATTCACCTTCATGGGTCTTGCTTCTCACTATAACTGCTGTCGCCTCGTCTTCGTTTCTGATGAAATCCATTCAAATGCTCATGAATTTCAGGGAGTGAGGTAAAGGCACTGCCTCTTGAAAGCCACTCTCGATCTGCCCTCTGCTGCCTTGCCTTTCTGTCTCTACAGCTCTGGATCTCGGTCCTAAACAGGCTGCCCAGGTTTGCAGGGTACTGTTTCCTCCCCTAGAGACTTTCCCTCTCTGTGGGTCCCAACCATCTCTAAAGATGCACAGCCTCCCAGTGTATGGAGTTGGTAGCTCTTCAACTATTTATAAGCTTTTCATAGCGTGTCACACTCACCAGGCCAAACACCTCATCTCATTAATCCATTCAGTGAGTGGATACGGTCCTGTGAACCTTTTGAGCAAAGACCTCTTGCTTTTCACTCACGAGGTCTCCTTTTCCCCAGGGAAAACATTATTGATCACTTTGCCTTTTTATGCTGTTTAGATCCAGTGATTTTCTAACCAGCTCGAGTTAAGGATACCATAGTTTGTTGGTTTCTGTCATTGTTATTTAACCTACTTTCCCATTATCCCAGATATTAAAAATACATTCTATAATATAGAATTATATAATATAATCATATAATTATATTATAATAATTATGATATAATCTTGTTAATTAATATTAACTAATATAATAATATATAAGCTCTAGATTATGATTTCTTTGTCAGTTTGGCTGTAATATTCACAGCATTGAAAACTTGGGACTTAACAGATTAAGGGGGACCCTTTTTCACCCCCAGGGGAAAGATCAAAATTTGAAATTTGAGGTATGCTTTCTGCAGAATGTGCATCATTTTCTCATCATCAGAGAGTCAAAAAATCATAAGTGGACTCATCATAAGTTGGATCATCTGTACACATGTTTTTTTAAATCACCTTTCAAGGACTTCTCATAGAATATTGAGGGTCTTTTTGAAAGCCCAGGCCTTAAGGCTTTGTTCTTGCAAGAATTAAATTGAATTCATAACAATTCTCCTGCCATACAAAGCAGTCATTTTAGTGGAGTAAGTGGTATCTAGGGGGAAGAGAAGGCAATAATTAATTGGTTGAATGTCTATCACCCTGACTCCTATAATCCATACCATCACGTGATCGATGCTGCCTAAGAGCATTGCTATGGAAACAGAAAGAGGTGAGCAAAACACAAAAGAGGACTAGGAACAAGAAGAGGAAGGGTGGCATGCCCTGCCTCCGGTTAATTACCTGCTCAGATGGCACCAGCTGATAATGAAAAAGGTGCGAGTGGGGACACCATGGCAGAGCTTAGTAACTAAGAACGCCACTCCCAGGACAAAACCACTTATTCTGATTTATGCTTCAAGTAGTCGAGAAAGCAGTCTGAATCATGTGCTTATGTATTTACAACAGCGAAGGCGATGCAGACTCCAGAGACCAGGTCAAGGTGTGTGGACTTGTGTGGGTGGGAGCTTGGAAGGTTCTTTGATCTTGAAATCCAACTACTCTACTGTGGCTTTTCCAGAAAGCATGTGGTTTAGCTCTGTCTCTGGAAAATAAAATCATTCATTCCTTCTGCATCTCTTTTATGCAGTATTTAATGGAAAAAAGTTCTCCAGGATTCAAGCAGGCTCATCTTCCGCGTGATTTCTTGTCAAAGACCACTCAAGACACACAAGAAGAAAGTTATTATCTTAGTCCTCGAAGTGTTCTTTTAGAGGTAACCCTTCCCATCTGCTAATGGCTCATTTCTTAGAGAAGTGATTCCTGAGCCCCTGTCCTGCACTGTTTGTGGAGAATCAGGATAGATGATGAGCTCATGGCTCTGACCCTGGTGGAGGAGTTGCCACAGTATAAGACAGAAAGGGCCCCATGCTGTAGAGAGATGCTTATACAGAGTCCCAGGGTATACCAGTCATAGGAAGAGCGGGGCCTGATTTCCAAACGGAAACCAGAGAAGGATCTATAGAGGAGGTGACATTTGACCTTACTTGATGGCTAAAATTTGGACTTGGGGAGTATTCTGGACTGAAAGAAAAATAAGAACAAGAGGTAGGTCCTCGGGTGGTAAGTTGTGTGGTGTGTATCAGTCAGCCTGTTGGTACATTGGTGCCCTTCTGAGTGCTAGGCGCTGACCTGTCCCAGGCGTGGTGGCCTCTGTAATGGACTTGAGATTGCCCCTTCCTTCCGAGCTCACAGTCTAATCGTTACCACATGATAATGTTACACACAAAGAGGCACAAAGTAGCAGGGAACATCAGAAATGGGACAGATTTTTCTCTCCATTGGAGTCAGGAAAGAAAGATTTGGGGGATGGAACGGTATTTGATATGTGTGTGATGAATCGTTCAGTTAGGTGGCCATTCAGAGTGTGTAGGGACAAAACAGAAAAAAGAGCCAGTTCATGATGGTCTCAAACACCGAGTTGACTTCATTCTGTAAGCAGCATCAGGGCAGAGCTGGCTTCTAGGTTGGGAAGTAGCAGAACCTGAATTGCCTTCCAGTCGCAGGAACCCAGCCACTCCATCTGCGGTGGGTGCAGAGAGAAGAGAACGGGAGACAGGAAGGCCACGTGACTGGGGGCACGGGCGGCATCGTTTCCCAGACTGGGGTTTTCTACTAGAGTATGGTGATGGAAGTGCCAAGTTATACAGCTTTTTAACAGCAGGGTCCTCAGAGCCTCTAAGAGGCAGTGGTGCATTATAAATAGGTGAGTGGCACACAACACACAGCATTTCCCAGGCTTATCTGAGCCCAGAAGCCTTCTTCACCAGGAATATTTTTATGCTAGGGGACAGTCTTTCATGATAGTTCAACCAACCAACCAGGTGTTTTTTGAGCATCAGTTGTAATTTACGCTTGTCTTTTGCTAAATACTATAAGGGATGCAGAGTCCACAAAGCAGATTAATCTGTGCAATAGAAATTCAGAGAGCCATCCACAGAGGTGGGGTGACCAGGGCAGGCTGTGGGACTTCAGCCAGGCCTGAACATAGTGTCAATGAACAGAAGAGAAAAGGGACATCCCAGGTGAAGCAAACAGCATGAACATTGGGGACTAGGAGAGCACCACTGGTAAGGGGCAGCTATGGGAAGTCCAGCTTGATTGGCGGCAGTGTTCCAGTGTGAGATTAGTGGTGACCTAGGCAGGTAAGTCTTGGGTTTTGAGCAACCATTGCTGTCAATGATGCCTAGTTCTAAGGGGCTGGTTGAGCATCTCCCAGGGACAGAAGTTTCTAGGACCCTTGGGGCCTCCTCAAGCACTGGGGCTGCCTGTGAGCACTGTAGCCTATGACCAGCTCCACATTGTGTCTGGTCTTTCACCTGCCCACTTCTGTGATTCTGCAGTAGGATTGTCTGGGGACAAGGGTTCATGCCATTAAGTGCGCAGTGGTAAAACATGAAGGTAAACAGCAATTTAGTCCAATAGAACACTTGTATCAGAAAGCACAGGGCACCCAGGAGGACAGAATGGACTTTGAGTCTGCCAGGAACTTCACTGGCTCAAGCTTGCGTAGGTGAGGTTGGTTGACATTCCCTAAATGAGAACCATTATTCATCCAATGGCAGATGTACTTACAAGTTCAGGGTCCAGGTTAATGTCCAGGTTAGGAGTACAAGGTTCCTGTATGATTGGCAGACTTGCATCTTTACGCTCATTCTTCTTGTCTTTAGTTGGATAATGTTATTGATTCCAATGATTCTGGTGAATCCATTGGACCTGGTAGTGAAGACCAGGTCCCCAAGACAACTGAATGCCATTACATGTCAATGAAATCCTGGTAAGTAAAACTGACATTTTAAAAATTGATTCTAGTTATCCTAAAACAACTAAATTCTTTTTTTTTTAACACAATACCTTTATTTATTTATTTTTATGTGGTGCTGAGGATCAAACTCAGTGCCTCATATGTACTAGGCAATCACTCTACCACTGAGCCACAACCACAGCCCCCAAATTCATTTTTAATAATTGACAAATTGAGAGAAGTGTTTTCACAGACTCCATTCAACCCAAGTAGAATCTTATTATCCAAAATGCTTGGGTCCAGAGGCATTCCAAATTTCAGATTTGGGAATATTTGAGTATATATAATAAGATATCTTAAGGATATAACTCAAATCTAAATGCGAATTCATTTATGTTTTATGGACATCTTATACACATAGCCTCAAGATAACTTTATGAGCTATTTTTAATTTTGTGCATGAAACCAAGTTTCATGGTGCAGAGTTTTCCACTGACAACATCTGGTTGGCACTCAACATTTCATATTTTGAAGCATTTCGTATCTCAGGTTCTTGGATGCGGGATGCTCAATCTGTAATCTCAAAACCATAAAAACGGCAATGATTTCTCCACCCACAGAAAAGCATTTGTGACAACCTCAGGACGTTTTCTGTTTGGGGAAGTTGTTTCCTATTTTGCATTTATGTCTCTCACACTCGCACTCTGTCCTCCAAGCCCTGAAAAGGATTATTTTGGTTCCATATCCATTTTTAGAAGGAAAGCTTATTGGATTTGATCCTAACTGCGGCTGTGATTTGGAGGGTTGGACACGCTTCAAGACCTTGTTAGTTTTCACGTGGCTGTTGGCTACTTAAATCTGACACACACCGTGGAAAATTGTAAATAGACATACTAAAAAAGGGTTTGTTTTAATGTCTTCTACTCTATAGTTTTTTCAAGGCTACACTCAATGCATCTGCTGGCTGCCCAGAGGAGGCCCAGACCTTTCCAGAGCCCCAGGATGGAGGCCCCCAACTGCAGGAACCAGATTCAGGAAGTGATCTGTGTCTTTCACCTGCCAATCCAGAAACACAGGCCACGGATGATAAGAAGGGATCGGCCTCACTGACTGTTGTGAAATTGTCTATATTACTCAAGTAAAGCTCTAATTTTTAAAAAACTCATGGGTTCTGAGGGCAAGGCAGGCCTTCTGTTTTTATTTAGGATTCAAATTTTGAAGCAGTTCCTAAAAATCTCCAAGTCAGCCAAGAATCTGACCAGCTTCTCCCTGTCATTGATGTTGTGGCCAAGGACAGTGAATAAACAGAGCTGGACAGAAAGCAGTCCCCTGGGCTTGGGGTGGCATTTTCAGCTACTTTTAAAAATTCTTCCTTGGCTAGTCTTTCAGGTCCTGGGGCTTTGGATCCACACTGATCCGAGTAGTATGTCACCCGGCTTCTGCCATTAACATTGCTAACATGGCGTGCAGGTCACGAGAGGCTTGGTTTATAGACAAGGAAGGGGATGTTCCAATTTCAAGTGATGCCAAAGGCATTTGACAAGATGGTTGTCATCTTAAGGATGCTTATCCAACCAATTTACTGTGTTCTCCTCTTTCTCCATTGTCTCCCACCCACAACCACATCCCAAGAACGGTGGGGAGGGATACTTATGAGTAATTTTCTAACTTAAATTCACATTTTTCTCCAAATGTTTTTGACAACCATTATTTGGAAACTATCTCAGAAATAGGAGGCCAAAAATCTGCTCAGAGAGGACAGTTCAAGAGCCAGGGTCAGTCGCCTGAAGTGACTTTTACAAATGCTTTCTCTGTCAGCAACATCCCTGATGAGAGCCACTTGGAGATGCTCGACGTGTTCCTTTCTCCGCCAGATGTCATAAACTATCTTGCTCTTGTCGAAGCGGCCGGACGGATATGGTAGGTGGGAGAATTGACTGTTGTGGACTAAAAAGGAGATTCCAAGACAGGAAGAGAACAGTCATTTTGACAAAACTGACCGGGGACTTGGGCTGTCATGTTGTCACAAAGAAGACTCAAGGAATCCTTGGCCAGGTCGTGGACTTCTCTTGAGGCGGAGCTTGCTCATTCGTGAATTTGCTGATTTGTTCTTTAGATGTGCGTTGTGTAACCTCGTGGGCTCACTGCCCACCAACACTTACTGAGCGTCCTCTGTTTACTTGAAACTGTGGGGTTATAAAAATAATAGAAAGGCGGCACCACAGGGCCCCATAGCCTGGTGAAAAAGACAGCTGCCCAGACAAGCAAATACAAAATGCATTTTATTTAAAAGTGTAATGAATAAGGTGCTCTCACAATGCAGAAGCCCAGGGGCAGGGAGATTAACTATAGAAAAGGAAGCAGAAGGTCAGAGTCCACAGGGCTTTGCAAGAGTGAAATGATTTGCACAGGTTTTGGAGGAAGGGTTAGACTCCAACAGTAGTGACAGAAAAAGGAGATGGTCAGCTTTAGATGAGGCCCAGCACAGCTTGAGTGAGGAGTTCCTGCAGGCCTGGCCCCACCCTCCCTTCCCTGAGAACTATGTCATGTGCTGGTATTGAGCCCTGTATTTCTACTGCAGTGTGGCCAGGTGGGAAGGCCCCCCACATTTGGGATGCTTATTTTGCCATGGAGATCATGTCTTGGCCGTGAATGACCTGAAACCCCAAAGCCTGGAGGAGGTCTCCTTGTTTCTTACCCGATCCATACAGAAAGAGGTGAGTCCTAGTAACTGACCCTGGCCAGGACAAGTCAGTGGCAAGAGGAACAAGATCAAGGTCTTCACTGGAGTCTGAAAAGTACTTGGGATACAAATGAAACTCTGCCTTTCACATAAGGTAGTATTTGCAAGATACTGGGCTAGGAGACAGAGTACCTGGGTTTGTGACCTCAGACATAGCATAGGGTGGGGAAAAGAGTTTGCATAGAATCAGGCTGGCTCATGGATTGCAAACCAGCTACTTGAAGGAGTCTGTGCTTCCATTTTCTCTTTTGTGAAATCAGGGATACTGATAGTACCCGATGTTGGGGGAATTAAACGAGATAATATGTGGTCATGTGCTTAAAACAGTGACTGGCACATACTAGGTGTTCAGTGTAGTACTATTCTTTTTGCTTCTTTTTTGGCCATGGATAGGCTCAGTCTTGACATCATCATACTGTCCTCATATAGTTATTATAAGAATTAGACATAATATGTAGGTGTGCAGAGTATATGTGATTTTAAAAGGCTAGCCTATTTTTAAATGGTCTCTCCTATTAGTGTAGTTTTCATATGGCTAATTCCATCCTGGTTTAATTTTATCTCTGATTTTTAGCCCTGTGACCTTGGGAAAGTCACTTCCTTCTCTGGGCTTTAGTTTCCTTTCTCTAAAGTGAGAGGGTCCATTTTCAAATTCTGATTCTTGGACTTCTAGGGTGGTAGTTGGGAGAGAGGAGAGGAGGGGGACAGTGTGCCAGGGCTTCAATTAGAGAAATCCATGGTTTTCATTTATGTTTTATTAAACAGACAAGTCCCCAAAATATTGGCCTGTCTTAGCTTCCCTTGAAAACAGTTTCATGACTTGAAATTTCTAAAAACCATGCTACTAGATAACCTTTCTTCCAACTCTGAGGGTTTATGACTATGCATCATATGTATATTAGGGATATTTCTTCTCTCTTCTGCATCACACAAAGTAACCCTGCTGGTTAAACAAATTGTCCTATCCCGGCTATCTAAATGGGTAAACCCAGTAAGTAGGAGCAAATTGGCTAAGACACCTCACTAGTTAATGGCAGAGCAAGGACACATGTGTTCATTCATTCATTTATTCCTTATTTATTGAACATCTGCTTTATGCTGGATACTGTGTCGTGTTGTAGGACTGCAAAAATGGCCTTACCTTGAGCTTAAGGAGCTCGTAGATTAGTGGATTGAAAAAAGCATATCATGGGCTACTTACCATAGCGTATGTCCCTGAGACATGGAATAGGGAGGACAGGGGAAGAATGGAGTAAGTTTATTGCGGAAGACCAGGAGGGTGTCTCAGGGGAGGTGAGGATTGGCTTAGGTATTGAAGTTCATATGGGGTGTGAACTAGTAACTAATGCATTGAGTCTGCCAAAGATCCACACTGGGGCCAAGTAGCCAAGATAACCTTCTGTGCTGTTCTGGAAGTTTCCAACCCAGACATGGGCTCAGATGCCAAGAAAAGGGTTTCTGACTGGGAGCAGATCCAGGAACTCCACCTGGGTGTCTCTGCCTCGCTTTCATCACGAATGTCCTTCCGGAATGGAGAGTCACCTGCGTGGGCAGGAACACCTGCATTTCCCTTAGGCTCACCCCATGTTCCCCTTTCTGTCTGCAACTCCTAGGTACTATTGAGAACTACGGGGCGCCCACCAACATGATTATCTGAAAGATTAGGAAGTTGCCCTCCTTCTCCACTATTCCTGACTTCTTTCTTTTACGTAAAAATGTGTATACAGTTCTCTTAAAATTCAAATACCTGGTCCCTGGAAGGAAACAGAATGTTGGAAAGGAAGATGTGGAGCCAGACAAGGAACAATGGCCCCTGATATTGTAAAGCATCTGAGCCCATCAGATCTACCTTTCTTGTTAGGCTACAGTTGATTGGTTGTGGTAGGGACTGTGAAGGGAGAAGATGTAAGATCTTTCTTTTTTTTTTTTTTTTTTTTGGTGCCAGGGATTAAACCCAGAGGCATTTAACCTCTGAGCCATATTCCTGGCCCTTTTTATTTTTATTTTTTGAGACAGGGTCTCACTAAGTTGCTTAGGGCCTTGGTAAGTTGCCAAAGCTGGTTTTGAACTTGCAGTCCTCCTGCCTCGGCCTCCCAAGCTGCTGGGATTCCAAGCGGGTGCCACCACGCCCAGCTGAGAATGTAAGATTTTTAAAGGTGGCGAAATGTGAGTTTTGAGGGGGAGGGCCTGCTGGATTGCAGGAGACACTTTAATTTCCTCCCAGTTTTGTCTGAGACTGGTCCTATCTGATGGTCTTATTTTGATTTGCTGGTTTCAAGAGGTCCTTTTAATTCTTGGTGCATCTGGACCCCTCTGGGCATCCTTGAAGCTCTCTGGAATCTTCCCTAGAGACTCAGGCCAGTAACTTCCAGAAAATGAAAACCATCGTCATCCCTAGCTTCTTCTGGCCATCTTGTTCATCTCAGGATTTTCTTCCTAAGAGCTTCAAAGGGTGTGAAGGAGGACCAAGTGAGGACCAACGATCCTAAGGATGATCTTCAGTCATTTAATTTTCTTCTTTCTCATATTTTAGAAAATAAAGCTGTCCATCGGGCGGATCCCAAATTCAGAGAAATTCCATGCTGAGGCCTGTACATGCCTCTTAAAACACCAACGAGTTGCACTGATCCAACAGGAGAAGTCTGGACTGCAGAGGGCACCAAAGAGGAGCCCAGCCATTAAAAAGGGCCATCAGAAAGGGACTGGGGAGTAGCTGGCCACCACCTCACTGCAGCAGAGGATAGAGCCCTGGACTGTGCCAGGCGTGGCCACTCAGGCCAGTGATATGAGACACACCAGCACACCTCTCTCAACTGCTGCACCTGCACCTTACCTGGGGGATAACTGTCCCTGCTCTGACTATGGCATCAGGGGTGTTGAGAGGGTAAAGTGGGATAATGACTAGGGAACACAGTGAAAATGGAAGGCCTTGTTATCTGAGACTCTGTCCCAAATACTGCAAACACAGACTGGGTAAGTCCCTCATCTTATTAGTACACACCGTGTTCTGTGAGGTCATTGTCACACAATTGCTTCTTTGTTCAGGAACATCCATTTGGAACTACTCATTCCAGGAAGGCAAGATTCCCCGGAGACATGCGAGACCCTTGCAGCCTTCCCAAACACCTCCTGTGACTCATCAGCCCCAGAGTCCAGAATGTGGACCGGGTGGCCACTTGGATTCAATGCATCTCTTGTTTGCTTAAAGACGCAGCCACGATTTTAGAAGTCAAAGCAGTTTTAGGTTCTGTCCAAGAGTGCCCTACTTGCTATGCAAGTAAAAGGAGAACGACTTAGCGCTTCTAATTTGAAAGCTCTTAGCTAATTGGTGCAGTAACAAATTGATCCTGGGAGGCCAAAAGAATCAAATGCTTTTTCATAAACAGAAAAGCCGAGGGAGAGCGCTGAAGCACTAATCAAATCGGGGAACATTAGAGCAAAAGGGGCTTCAGAAAGTGAATCTTACCAGGCTGTCATTGCACGTGGAAGAAATGAAGGCCCCATTCCGTGGGTGGTGTGCCTTCTCCACAGTTCTGAGGCTCACAGCTGCTTAGTGGCAGAACCAGCAATCTACAGCCAGCTCTGGAAAACAAATATCCTAACTTAACCTTTGATTTGGATAAGATTAGAAAAGACCTTCAGGGCTTAGAAGACACATTCAAATATGTTTCACTTTCTGATGTCCTGCTTGTCCAGAAAGTAAAAATGTTCTCATTTACATGGCCTATTTGACAACTGCTTCTACTCCTAAAAAGGTATCCTATGAAATGCACACACAAAGATATCAGTAAAAACCAGAAAGTTTATTGTCACATTGTAATATTGCTTGTGGTAATAAAAAATCATTTGGAGATTGCTTAGTTATGATTTCATATAACTGAACATAGAAGATGTTTAAAAGCTCAGCATAGACAATTATGAAAAATATGCACAAACTATTAAGAATCAAAGAAGCAAGTTGTAGCCAGGTGTGGTGGTGCACACTGGTAATCACAGTGATTCAGGAGGCTGAGGAAGGAGGGTGGCAAGTTCAAGGCCAGCCTCAGCAACTTAATGAGGCCCTAAGCAACATAGCAAGGCCCTGTCTCGAAATGAAAAATTAAAAAGGCTGGGGATGTAGCTCAGCGGTAGAGCACTTGCCTAGCATGTGTGAGGCCCCCAAGTGCAATCCTCAAACTGAGGGTGGCGTTGGGGGATAAGGCAAGTTGCAGTTTGATAGATAAAACATCCCAATTTAGTAGTAATGTTGTGTTTGTGTAGCTATGGATCTAAAAACTCCCCAGCCCTCGTTAGGAGAGGGCCACCTCCCTCCCTCCTTGAGAGGTTGTGGGGTTGACATTAGGCAGGTAGCCTCCTTGTGAACACCCTCTCAGGTGCTGTGCTGCTGTCTCTCAGCCCTGCTTTTTGTTTTTGTTTTTTACGTTCAGTATAATGCCCGTTAGATTGTCAGTAAGAATTACTTCTGAGAAGCATGATCAGGTAGACCCTGGGGCAAGAGATGTATCTATGTTTGAATTTGTTTGTTTTCTCTTTTCCATAGCATATATTGCTTTTGTAATAAAAAAAAATTAGTATGAGAAATAAACGTGTGTGTGCGTGTGTGTGTTTGCGTGCACACGTATGCACGCGCTTGTGTGTGTGTGTGTATGTCTTAAACCTTCTTAAGTGAGAAACCAAGCCACCTCAGTAAAGGAAATAAAAACCATCAAGATAAAACCACCTGGCAACCAACCATGTGAAGCCAAAGTTCCTCCCCCTGGTTTGCGCACAAGGCCAGCCTGCAATTCCTATAAAAGCCTCAGTGAGGGAGAGGGACAAATGTTAGCCCAAGTCCTTCCACCTCCTTACTGAGGCAAAGAGGAGGTAGAGGACTGAGGGGCTGATCATCTGTCCGGCACATAGATGTGCTGGGACAACACACCACAACCCCTGGCCTTTCCCAGTGTGCCACAGGGAAGACAGTCAGCCTGCCCCTGGCCCCATCCGATCCCAAATTCCTTCCCCCCACCCTCACAGCAGGGTCAGCTGGGTACTTGTTAGGTGCACAGGCTCCTGGGGCTTCTCCCACACAAGGGGCGTGTTCTCAAAAGGAAATCTCAGGGTGGATTCCAAGATCCCCCAACCCAAGGATTCTGACATGGTGGGTCTTTTGTGGGGTCCTGGAATCTGCATTATCATACTCCCAGGGGAGTTGATTGCTGGTCCACCAAGAAATGCACAGTTTGGCAAAGAATCTTTCCAGGGGTCCCGTGGGGTGGCTTGGGAGTCCCCAGTGAAGCTGCAGAACATGGAGTGTGAACACGGGCATTCTCTAGGGGGAAGGCCAGGCTGTCAACAGCTCTGAAAGGCAAATGATCCCACCTCCCCAAAGGAAGCTGGATCCTGAGGCAGCAGCCTGGCTCTCAGTCCTGCTCTCGGCCACCTGCTGAGTGGCATAAGGCCTTCTGGTCTGGGTGCCGCCACGTGCTTTTCGGCAGTTGAGGTGGAGAAGCTCTGTCACTTCTGCCTGCCATTCCTCAGCATCGATTCCTGGTTGTCCTCTGTGCCTCCCCTTTCCCAGAGCTGGAGCAGCCACACATCCCCAACATACAGGTTCTTTCTCCTAACGATACCAGTGGGCCCCAAAAATGGTCCTGACAAAACGGGTCCAAAAATCTGGGCGTCGAGGCCTTTGTCCCTAAGCATGACTTTTGAGGTCCTTTTCTGTGACATGGCAAAGAGCTCTGCAAGATGAGCTGCTGAGAGATGGGGAGGTCTCTGAAAACAGTCTTGTTCCTTATGGTGTAGACTTTTTTCAGTGCTAAGAGGCCTTCCTCACGCTTTGCCGGTCCACAGTCACAAGCACAGCCAGCCCCAGGGAAAATGCCATCGGTGACCTTTATCCTTCCAGAGCTGCCCTTGACGTTCATCGCAACCCCATCCAGGTGGGCATGGGAGACTGGCTCAGCTGTGCCTGTGAGGGATGGCCCTCTTCCATGTCTACTCCATATGGACCACTACGTTCTTGGCCATCACATCTTTGGCTTGAATCTGGTGTGGCTCGGTTTTGCTGGGGGAAAGCCAGCACAGAAATGTGAAGAGACTCCCCCCAGGCTTCCCCAGCTCCATGCCAGGCTTGTGGCTCCTGGGCTGATATCTTTTCTGCTTTTGCACAACTTTCCTGTGAGGCATTTGGAGGTGTTGCTCCTCCAGCCTGCTCCTGGTTCCTGAAGGGTGCCTCATGCCTCTAGAACAGGCCTCGGAGGGAGACTGTGTTTCTGCTTTGTTCTCTCTACTGAGGATGCAAGCTCTCCACAGTGAAACGCAGAACACAACTGGTAAGGTAGGAACTGAATGTACAGGGCCAGGGACAGCTGTCCTTAGGTGAAGCCATCAACCAGAGGGCGTGGTTACGTGTATGGATGTGAATGTGTGTGTGCATATAATGAGGGGCACAAGGAGACAGATGGGAGTCATAGGAATTCTTTAATAAACTGAGAAGCTGACACACTCCAAGGCTCCTCCCCTCACAGCTAGTTCCAAGTGACTTTCCCTTGGGACAATAACAAGAATTTAAAGAATCATAAACAGGCCCAAAGGAAGAGGTTTTTTTCAGATTCAGCTGGATTAAATCAGGGTTCTTTTGTGAAACTGGACTTGTGTTTTATTGAGAATGTGTTTTATTGAGAAAGCCTTTCAAAATGTCTGAGTTAGAGAAATATTTGTGTATAGATCCACAATGTGGTAAGATCTTGAGGCCATTGTCCATATCAACTCTGGCTAGGTGGCGCTGGAAAACTAGGTGCTTAAGAAAACTTCACACTCACATCAGAGAACTTGGAGCTGAGCTGCCCCAGTATGGTAGCCACATGTAGCTATTTAACTTGAAACCAGTTAAATAAAATTTGAAATTCCATTTCTCAGAGGCACAGGCTACATTTGAAGTGTTCAATAGCCTTGTGTGATAATTGACTACTGCATGGAGTAGCACAGATATAGACTATTTCTGTCATCATGAAAAGTTTTAGTAAGCACCAAGAGGAGGAAAAACTCACCCCTGTCTATGCACACATGTGTGTACTTATGTGTCTATTCCCAGCACATAAGGACAGTGCTCAACTCATAGCAAATGCTCAATAAATACATGTTAAAAGAAGAAATTACTGCATTTTTATGTTAAATTCTAATTCATAAATATTATTCTATATTGATAGTGTTTTAAAATAGAATATTCATATTAATGACTTTGGTAACATTTCTTTTTCATCTTTCTTTCTTTCTTTCTTTTGGCCTGGGATCAGATATAATTAACTTGAAAAGCAAGCTATGGACCTTTTTAATGCAAGCTGCTTTCTCAACAGTTAACAAGTTTTTGTATTATAGCCAATAGACCTGGGAACTATTATGAGGACACAAGAGAAATGCAAGGTCTAACACTCTCCAACAAATTGCTGACCACACAGTGAGGAAGAGAAAATGAGCATATCATGACCTCTTGTTCCCTTGATGTCACTTACAAAGGCATATTCTGGAGTCATAGGCTCTCCAAAATGTAACCCTTTCCGGCATCCTTCAGTGCACACTCATGGGCACTCTAAATGTACATCACTCTAAGTACAGAATGAGTATCCCTCATGCAAAATGCTTGGGACCAGAAGTGTTTCAGACGTTGGATTTCGGGATATTTGCACATGCAGAATGAGACATCTGGGAAATGGGATCCAATTTCTAACC